GGGGGTTCCCTTGTAACTCACTCTTTGTTTTTCTCTTGCTGCCTTTAAGATCATTTCTTTATCCTTGACTCTGGTCATCTTGATTATGATATGTCTTGGTGTGGGTCTGGTTGGGTTCTTCATGTTTGGGACCCTCTGAGCCTTCTGTACTTGGATATCTGATTCTTTCTTTAGGTTTGGGAAGTTTTCAGTCATGATTTCTTCAAATACCTTTTCAATCCCCTTCATTCTTTCTTCCCCTCCTGGAACCCCTATTATGCATAGATTGGCACACTTTATATTATCCCATAGGTCCCTTATATTGTTTTCATTGTTTTTTTATTTGTTTTTCTCTCTGCTGTTCTGATTGGCTGCTTTCTGTTGTCCTGTCTTCTAGGTCACTTTTTTGTTCCTCTGCATTATCTAGTCTGCTTTGCACAGCCTTTAGGTCAGCTCTCATCTCCGCAAATGAGTTTACTAATTCTACTTGGTTCTTCTTTATAGCTTTTACTTCATTTTTGACGTATTTTATATCTCTAAACACTATTTCTTTTAGTTCCTTCAATACTTTGATCACTCCTTTTTTGAAATCTTGATCAATAGGCCATCAATGTCTATTTCCTTGATCGTGCTTTCAGGGGATTTCTCTTGATCTTTTAATTGGGAGTGGTTCCTCTGCTTCTTCATATTGCTCATATCTCTCTGGCACGGTGGCTTAAGGAGTATCAGTTATCTAGTTCTCCTGGAGAAGGTGTGCTCTTAATTATTTTATCGAGAGGTCTTTGTGTCTGTGCCCTGTTTGGCAAACTCAGCTTGCTGTTTCCAGAGGCCCTCTGTTGGCGTCCTCGTCTGTGCTGCTCCCAGTGGCTGTCGGCTAGCAGATCGTGCCCCCTCCCAACACTGGGTCAGGTGCTGAGCTCTGGTGGGTGGGCTAGTGACTCCCTGTCCCAAGGCCGCAGTCAGATGCTGCACTTGGGTGAGGCAGGTGGGCCGATCGCGCCCCCTCCCAGCACCTTGGTCAGGTGCTGCATTCCTGCCAGGATGGTGGGTGGCCGCCTGACCTCTCCGGGCGCTGGTCACGCTGCTGCTCTGTGCAGCTGCCAGCTCGGCCTCAGGGAAGACCACAGAATGGCCCCGCCCCTGCTCCGGGCCAAATCTCAGCTCCTTGTTTGTCTTGGTGGCTGAGTTCTCTGAGGTGCCAGGGCAGAAAGATCCTATCTGCCTCAGGCTGTAAACAAGTCTCAGTCCTGCCTAGGAGGTTGCGAGCCCCCAGGTGCAGACTCAGGTCTCAGCCCCGCCCCCGCCCAGGTGCTGAGCACAAGAGGAGGTGGTGGCTGCGGCTGCGGTTGCGCCCTGCTTCTCTTCTCGCGAGAAGTGCTAGTAATGGCGGCGCAGGTCTGAGGAGATAGAGGCTACGGCTACACCTCCCCTTAGGGCACACCAGCCGTGTTGCTTTGCTTTTTTTGCAATTTATGGGGGACCGAGGTGGTTCTGCTCCATATCCCCTCCCAGCCACGGTGCGTAACCCCCTGCCGTCCCCCGGGCCTGCCTCAATGCAGCCGCCCCAGCCCTCCATCCGGCTCAGGCAGCCTGTCCCGGCCCCCAGCTGCCAGCTCGTGTCACGGGCTGGGTGTCGCAGGGACCCTTTGTGCCCATTTAACTCAGTTTTGTCGGTCAAGAGGTGCTCGGGGCAGATCTGAGCCTCAGAGGTTCCCCCTCCATCCCGCTGGCCTCTCCATTGGAGAGGGGAGACCCAGTGAACGAGAGCCAGTCCTCCTTTGCCGCTCCCTCCCCGCGGGATTGGTCCTGCACTGTTTTGCTTTTTCTTCTTTCTTTTTTCCTTTTCTTCTACCAGATTTTTGGCGTCTTTGTCTTTCGAAGAGGGTGATGTTCTGTCAGAGTTCGGCAGGTTGGCTGAGTGGGCCCGTTGATGTGCGTTTTGGTGTATTTGTGGCAGAGGGTGAGCTACAAGCATCCTTCTACTCTGCCATCTTGCTTCTCTTGACAAATAGTCTTTAATAACTTCAGAATTCTTAGAATTTTTCCAAATCTTTTTTGGGTAAAGATTTAATAATTATAATTATCCTTAAAATTAGAATTATACTCAAATTGCTTAGGTTACATAAATAAGCCTAATAGAACTGGGTATACTCATTGAAATAAAAGACCATTTTTCTCAGTCTGATTCCCATTCTTTTGTTAAGAAACAGAAAGAGGTAAAATAAAAAAAATTGAAGATTAAGCAGACATGACCTGCTTGGATTTCAAAAAACAAATACACATACAAACAAATACACAATTTCCTTGTGGCTTAATCAGTACTATTCAGCTCTCTAAAATGTGCCTATAATAAATGAATATAAACATCCTTTGTTTTCCTGTATGTTTTAAGCAAGTATAAAGTAATATTTTTCAAAACCTAGCAATTATCAGTATTTTAAGTCTTTTCACAGGGTTTCTGTGATATTAAGACATCTACCTATGTTTTTTATCTGAAGATTTAAAGTAAATTGGTAAACAGTTCATTCAGAAAAGTTTACTCTGTGGAGTTAAATACCCAAATGATGTTAAGTTACAGGAATTAGCTGAAATGTTTTTTAAAAAAGAGCCCTCTGATTGTAAATATTGGATTTTTACTTTAGTGACTTTTAGTTTTACTTATAAATCGACTAATAGAGATTTGTCTCAGAATTATCAATTACTCCTAAATATCTCTCAATCTGTGTATAGCATATTTATAGGAATACTCTTTTTAAAGCAAGACATTTTAGAAATGTTCCTATTAGTGAATGACATAAAAGAGATTACTGATCTAGGAGACTAAAAAAAAAAAGACACAAAACAAGCGAACAAAAAAACCCTTTTTACTGTCAACTTTGCCACCTACTTAATGTCATTAGACTGTGTCTTCAGAATCATGTATAAGGTTCTGAGCCTAATTCTTCCTCTTACTTGTTTATTTAGCATACCCACTTATATCAGGAAATAGCAAAATAAGATAGTATAGTAGTATCTTGATTTTATTCCTTCAGTATGTTAGATAACTACTCTTAATCTCAGTTTACTAATCTATAAAATGGATATAATAGTTCCATTTTGGTGATGATTAGATGAGTTTATATTTGTGCTTTGCTTGAGTTATACTTTAACTATAAGACCTGGTAGCTATGTAATTATAATTGTTATTTTTAAATGTCATTTTTAGTTGTTATAGTAATTCTAATTCTAACAGTAGGGATAATTATAATTATTATTAATAACCGTGTTTTAGTGTCCTCATCTACCAAATAAGGAGAACCTGTATTCCTTTCAGAATTCCATAACAAAACTGCATTGCACTATTTTATTTTGAAGTGTCCTCTAATAGAGGATTTAAGATATTTTGCTAAGTCTTACCTTTATGCATAAGTACTCAACTTGACATGTGACAGTTAGTAATACATTACTGGTTTTTGATAGAAGAGTAATTACTGTCCCCAGGTTTATCAGTTTCCTAAAACCCTCCATTTCACTTTGCTATTACCAAAATTTAGCTCGCTCTTCACAAATAGGTAATGTCAGTTATTTTATTTTACCATCATATTAACAGAAACTAGAGTTAAAAATCTTCATGTTTAATTCTTTTTCTTGTTCTGAGCCTAATAACTTCAATTTGGTAGTAGCAAACAGATGGTAGTACACTTATATGGTATGTGTGTTGTTTTCTACTAGGAAGTGAGAGAGTGACTTACCACTTGTAAAATTTATTCTTAGCTTGTATGTTGATTTATGTGATAAACTGTAGTGAAAAAATAGGAAGTTGCCCAGTTTTTTGTTCACTGTATGTGTATCTGGTAAATGCACTGTATTAGAATCTTATACTCTTTCCCCTTAGAAGAAATTATGTATATTTGAAACTGAGCTGCTTAATCTTGACATTCTCCCAAAAGTAATCATGTTTCCCTTTCATCCTAGTTTGAACTTGGTTCCTTCAACCTAGAGAAAGTTGCAGACCCGGCTGAGGTCATTAGAAAACTTATTTGTGACTGCCTGGACACCATTGCAGAAAACCAAGCCAAAAATGAGCACCTGCAGAGAGAAAATGAAAGGCTTCTGAGAGATTGGAATGATGTTCAAGGACGGTGTGTACAAAATTTGCTTGTATCATAAAAACTCTAAGCTCTGTGTATCTTTGTAGCTATAGGATAATGATTTATGCATTCATCATGTATTTAGACACATATTTAAAATGAAATCTGTCATTAATTGGACCTTTACTTGATATGATTGAACCAAATTATTGGTCGTTATTGTACATTATAGGAACACATTAATACTTTTAGGTTTTGAGTATTTGGTGGGACCAGCAAACTAATAACAATAAGGAGTAACTGGACAATGAGAATCAGAACCCATTAATATTAAAGTTTAGGAAGTTGATGTTTATAAGGATTAGTTTAGCTCAAAGTTTTGTACAACTAATGAATAAAAAAGAGACATGAAATGTAAATAAACACAATTGATTCCTTATTTGGAATCTTTTTTTGCGTGACATCTCTTTCAGGTGAAGTGTGTTTTGGCTCCTGATACTTATTTTGCTGATTGATTGAAAATTCACACTATCAGCATTTTAAAAAGAAGTTATGTTACTATTGGATAAGACATTTGGAAGCCTCTATTTTCCTGATTTTGCCTCTTACCTTTTAAATGATGAAGAGGAAAGTGACTTATCTTCTCTATTATGCATTTTCTCAACTATATCACATCTAGGCTATTCCAGGGGATAGCCTGTTTTACTCTATTATGTAAAAGATGTTTGAAAGAAATAAAATGCATGTGGTGAATATTTATATCTCTACAGAGAAATATTAATATACTCTGAATGCATTTGTACAAATAGGGTATATACATTACAACATTTGAAAGAATTATGTAGAATTCATAAAATAATATTAATAGTAATTATTATTATATCCAATATATAAAGTAGATTTTTTTTTCTTTCATTCAAACCAGTAGTTCTAAAACATAAGAACATACATCCAATTTAGATTCTTTTTAGGACACTCAGTAGGATTGTTCTATATAGACATTAGTAAGTATAGAGCACATGAAAAATGTGAAGGATTTTATCACCATCAATGTATGTATGTGAAAACGGAGTTGACTGGAAGAAACTGTTTCTATACATTCAATTATATTTATTAATTAATGCAAGACATGTGAACTTAGCACCTATTACCTGAAACTTGGTTATATTTGGTTCTCATTTATTATATTAGCAAAATATTTATCTTATTCTCTTTTAACTCTGAGTTAATTTTCGTCTCCAATTATATAACGTGATTAGACCAAATTAAAACTATGTAATTGTTAGGAAGCCAGGCAGAAAAATAAGTTAATATTTCTCTAACTTTCTCTTTAAAATTCATGTTAGTATGAATTAATATCAAATATCTGTTCTAGAAAGCACATTTTGGGGTCTATGTCTATAGTTTGGGTGTGCTTTTCTATTTCGTATACAAAATGAATCAAATTAAAGGAGGTGTACTATGATCGTGATAAGCCTTTATATTTAAAACTCAAAGTATCCTCAGGATGATAGGAAATTGATCCACAAATTGCCCACAAAAATGCAGACTGGGTACTTGGTACTTGAACAAATTGCTTTAAAATGTCTGCCAGAGGTTGAAAGACGTATTATCTCATCAGTATTCAACACCACTGCCATAGAATGGAAAGCAGCACGGAACAAAGATGAGACAGAGGAAACAAATGCACCCTGTGCTGTAAAACAGTTTGTGAGGGGTGCACGTAATATGTGGCCCACAGATGCTTGATTTGCTATTTCTGAACTATCCAGAAAGTGCTTTTGTTGTTGTGGCAAAAGGTTTCCTGTTTGATCAAAAGCACAGCCATGTAGCTTATCACTAGTCTCATTATGCTCCAGCTTTTCTGTTTTTGTAAATACTGGATCACATATCTTCTTCAGGGATTGAAGATGTGCACCCTTGGGATGACCCTCCGAACAGAGGAAAGAGAATCCATTCCAGAGAGTTCTAGGCTCTTGATAGTATTTCAGGTGTTAGATTGGTAGCTTTATTTCCCAAATTTCGTTTTCTTTCCCATGAGAGAGAAAGTGGCCATTTTAAAGAGCTGTATCTTGGTCATGGCCAATGAGTATTTTCTGAAGTGTTCCCTCTCCGGAGCCTTAGTACACTGGGAAATGAGCAAGGGACTTAGAACTCCAGCTTCCATAAGGGTAGTATTTATCAAGAGTCTTCAGAGCGATTAGAAATAGGGCATGAATACACTGAGTTAGAAAACTGACTGCATAGAAAGCAGAGAATCTTTAGAATTGAGGCCATCTCCTTAGGCCTGGCCACAGTTCAGTTCCCTGGCTGCTTCTGATAAGTCTTGTATCAGTGTCCATCCATGATCCAATCATTTCTTCCTTGTCATTGTTCTAGACTGTGTATGTATGGGGGAGTAAAGAGGGCAGAGGCACAAAACAGTGCTGAAAATTACCTTAGAAGCTATGGTAGATAGGTCTGAAATACATTTAATCCCTGATAGGATATTATGTAAGCAAAAAGCAATTGTATACACATGTGCTTATGCCATGGAAAATGTTTTATGATATGTTAAGAGGAGAAATGTCAATTACCAAAAATATGAATACTATCTCATTTCATATAAAATTTATCTGTAGATAGAGAATATCTAGAAGTGTAAGATTAAATGATAATAGTATGTGTCTGGAATTGTGGATTAAATTTTCCTTTTCTTTTTGGGGGTATTTTTTGCATATATTTTTGTATTTAAATATGTACCATTATTATGATCAGAGCCAACTCTAAAGCTATGTCCATTTGGGATGACAGTGGAGAATAAAGAAGGTCTGAGTAAGGAATGAGGAATTACAATATGAGTAAAAGAATGAGCTGTAATGTGTAGTCTTTCAACATATATATCTGATGTTCTTTTTTATGTACCATTTAATAATTGCAGTCTTAACTCCATTTTGAAGTGACATTACTGGATTAATTTCATTTTGTATAGTTTAGATTAGGAGAAAACCTTAGAAATATTGTATGTGAATCCTTAGGTAGTTAGCTATATTTATTTCACTGGTTTTTCCTATTTAGTTTCAAATAACAACTCTCAAGCTCCCTGTTACTGAATAGGTCTTTTGTTTGCACTCAGACATCAAGTTAGAAACTCTCCAGCTTTATTCTGAGTTCAAGTTATTAAACCTATAATTGGAGGCAGTTTTCAACAGATTGAATTGGGTTGACACTCAGGGAATCATTAGAATAGAAGAGACCTTGAAAGCTCTTCCACTTCATCTCTCTGCCTTCAAGCTAGGATCATATTATAGCCAGATGAATTCAGTCTGATTTTTAAAGACCTCAAGAGATATCTTCAACTCCCCTTGGTAGCCCATTACATTGTTTAAGAACAGTCACAGTCAGAAACCTTTTCCTTCCATCTATTGGTAATCTGAGTCCTTCATGGTATACTCAAAGGCCATTTCCTCTTGTTCTGACATCGGAAAGGATGAGGAACAGCTGTTTACCATCTTCTCCAGTACTAAAAGGCTTATTAAATCTCTTTACCACTGCTTTCTTTTCCAGTTTTTTTTTTAGCATTCTTTGTCCTCTGAACTCTGTGCAGATTTTCTGTTGCTATACAACCCTAACCTGGGTATAAATTCAGCTAGAACTGATTGTAAATATAAGGAATACTGCACTGTTTCTAAGTACCACATGTTCACATTTATGTATCTTTTATTTTTGGTTATCATTTAATCTGTTGTTTTATTTTGAATGTTATTTCTGTATGAAATTACTTTGTTTCTGCTCTCGTTTTTGTTGTGTTTCTGACATTGGTTTTTAAATTCTTTGTTTTCCCATCCAGAAATATTTTAGTTTGAATATTCAGTGTTTTCCATATTTAGTTGTTTTTTTTTTAATGACTATGCTTTGGTCCAAGTTCCTAGATACCCCAGTCCTAGGTTACTAATTAAACTTAACTTTATTGTTCTGTTATTTCAGTCACTGTTGAAAGCATGAAGCATCATTAGGCCTTTCCTGTTTGGTGTTATTTAGGGTTTCATCAGATTTAAGCTTTGCTTTGGGATGATCCTTGGACTAGTTGTGGTCTGATCTAGGTGTATGTGAGCTCTCCTTTAGTATCACTAAACTTAGAACTGCATCCATGTCTCACCTACTAATACGTGTCCAGTTTGTAAGGTGGAGGGTTGGCAGGAGGCAAGTGCAATGAAAGGCATAATAACAATATTATGCTAAGGGAGGACTGGCGTTACAGATGGCATGGGGGGATGCTACCTACCTCTTAGTTATTGAATATTAGTAAAAAGATAGCATTCTCTGAACTTGTTGATAAATGATTGAGTAAATTTATGTCCTGAAACTATTTACAATAATACTGTGTTCCAGCCAACCCGCACTCTCCAGCTTTGTCTAGGAAGTGTTACCCAGTTTAATAATCAAAAGTTTGGTTGCAACAGAATCCTAAAGCTTTGCTAAAACCCAGCAAGATTTACTCACAAGATGCCATTCATTCTATTGAGTGTGCTTTCCTGTCACAGAAATGATACCTTTGATAATGTAGCTATGACACTAGCTGTTTAGATTAGTAATATTCTTTAGACAAAAATAATGTATTTTATTTTAATATCTTTTCATTTTTCATTCATGAGTTATACCAGTTAATTTTAATAAAAGTTTGGAAATTTGCTTGATATTTGATAAGTATACATAATCTTTCAATCAAGAATTATTAAGTGATTTACATGGAAATTAAATATGCATTTAAATCAGATAAATTAGTAATTGAATTGGTTACTATTGTTACAGTTTTATATATTAAATTATACAAGGTTTTTATTATAAATTTTTATAACTGATTTTTACTTTGCATATATTTAAAATAGTTTATTATATACTCAGGCATTTTAGTGATACGTATGTTCTAGTCATCTTTTAAAAATTGTTATTATTATGTTACATTGGAAAATATTACAAGAAAGTGAGAAAATAATGTTCACATAGCACTTTGCATCTGAGATATAAATGCTTCAGATAGACCATCAGTAATGGCAGCTCCTCTTCAACTTTGGCTCTGTATTTTTCCTACACCTTTCGAGTGTACTTCTTTCTCAGACAGCTTTGCTTGATGATAGGGATACTACTATATTAATATTTACCACAATTTTTTAGAAGCTGAAGAAGATGAAAAACATTACTGTTATAGTAGTAAATAGCTGTTAAAGGAGTGAAAAATATAATATTCAGAATCACTGGTTGTCCATTTCTTTATAAGATGTCCATATTAACCTGACTTCATTCGTCTAATAAATAGCTATTCAACATTTGTTGAATGCTAAACACTGTGCTAGGCACTGAGGATAAAGCAGCCAATAAAAACACACATGCTCTCAGCCCTTATGGAGTTCACAGCCTTGGCAATGACTATGCTTTAAGACTGCTATAATTGGTTTCAGAAAATATAATGCCATATGTTCCCTTTCATCCCATGAAAGGCCCTAATTTTTGCCTTCTAGATAGGTAGTCTGTTGAAAGTGTAGGGGCATAAATATCAAAGGTATCAAATTTTGACATTTTCATGTCCAATTATTTTGCTGAAAAAATATATTTACATTTATAAACATATAAAATGAAAATATTGGGATCCCTTTATAGAACAAGAATAAATAAACAGTATGCTAAAGAGAAAATCAGGTAGAGCTAGACTACTTTTAAATGAATATATTACATGAAATAATTTATTTCTGAATCTTTAAAACAGATGTTTATTCATGGTGTGTATGTGCATGCACATATCAACTATATGCAGCCTCTGCTAGGTTGCCTTCTTTATATATATCTGGGAGATTAAAATTAGTACAATCTCTTGCTAGCTTATTTGAACATTGTAGAAAGAATTATAGAGAATTGTGTTTTGTCTTATATATCCAAAATAAAGATACATAGTGTTTCACATTTGCTGTTTCATTAATCTTTCCTTAGAAATTTACAAGTTAGATACTTTGTTTGTGTGTGTGTGTGTCTGGGTGTGTTTTGCTGGGTTATAAGATATGACTCGATATGTCTTATTCTTGCTGTGGAGCAGTTTATAATTTATTTAGGGAAAACACATCAGGTAAATCTCTTAATCACAAAACAAGATCATGGTTGCTATTATAGTAATATTAACAGAGTACAAGAAACTTAGACTGTAGTTTCTCTTGTTTGAAATTTCTCCCATAAAGATATTCTTTTGGAAATAAACCATGGTTGTGAATAAGTTATTACATTTAGGCATTCAGATGTTTTAAAAGCTTTTTGTGGTATCAGTTTCCAATTTGATTTTTATCTCAGTATGTAAACTACAAACGCTAATAATAAGTTCTAATTATTTAACTATCAATATAAAACTTTAAATCAATGAAGACATGTAAAGTGATTTTAATTGTATTTTTCTTGAAAAAATTTTTCTGAAATCATCTTCAGTATTAGATTGAGTAATATCAATGCCAAGAAAATCTGCATGATGTATTTATTTGTGTATTTACATTTTAGATTTGAAAAATGTGTGAGTGCTAAGGAAGCTGTGGAGACTGACCTTTATAAACGGTTTGTTCTGGTGCTGAATGAGAAGAAAGCAAAGATCAGAAGCTTACATAAATTGTTAAATGAAGTTCAAGAACCAGAAAAGAACATGGAGCATGAAAGGTATTTTGACCATTGTGTTTTGGAGACGGCAGATGCATACATTTAAGGGGAGTTCCTTCCCAAAGTTGATGGAAGTTAAATGCCAATGTTTTAGTATTATGAGGTCATTTGATAGTCTAGGGTTGGATGCTCTGGTTGTTAGATCCAAGCAGACTGGAGAATTCTCTATATGGTCTTTCCATGTCTGCCCAACTGTCACACCTACACATAGATAAATCTCATGCCAGTTTTGTGATTTAAATAATGTTTAATTCTTAGACATCACTAAGAAATATACTAATTAAGAACTTTCATTTTCTACAGAACCACAGAGCTGGACACACATTTTTAATCTTGATGTCTAAGCAGTGATTAATTTTAGAATCAAGTGACTCTGAGTGTGGATATGTACTTAATTTTCAAGGAAGAATCATGGGTGACTTATGACTCATATGGCTTGGACAGGTATAAGTATTTGAGGCATTAGCTGATATAGGTTTGGGTCTATTACCCTGAATCTGAGAGAAGGAACAGGTTTACTAATGACATCATACAAAGAATATAACTTTGATGTCAGATGATTCTAGTTCAAGTGTTGGTCTGGTGCTCATATCTAGTAGTACGTGACTTTGGGCAAGTCCTTTAAACTCTCTGTGGTTTAAAACCAGACCTTACTTAGATATTTTTATAATAAGAATAAAAGTGTGCATCTCAGAATTTTGGGGAGACCAAATGAGAGGCAGAACTGCTTTGAAATCAGGAAAATATTGAACACTTTGTGACCCACAGAAGGTAATTTGGAAGGATAGTATTTTGATTTGATAGATGAATAATAAGTGATAAGAAACATTCGAGAATTAACTATAGTGAGCACTAAGCCACATTTAGATTAGGTAAAAGAGAAACTTGTCCTTAAGAGAGTTAACATATAGTCTTTGAAGTGTTTTTATCTTAATCATATATATTTCAATGTATATTTGTTTAATTATAATGTTTTTCCAGGGATATTTTCTATAATGACTTACTGGTGAAGTGAATGCCTAGCTAGGAATGAACCCATAATGTATAATTATACCTCTCTCTGTTTCTAGGGAAACTGCAACACGTTCCGAAGTGACTGCTGACAGAGATGCAGTCTATGATGAGAGCACTGATGAAGAAAGTGGAACCCCACCGAATCCCTCCGTGTTAGCTCCAGGTAAAGACATCTGTTCCGTTTGTCGAGTATCTCACTGGGGCTTATTATCTATTACTTATTATGATAATAGACCATAATGAAAAATGCTATGAAAACAGTTTTTCTACAAAAATTATTTAGGGTTTTGAGTCTAAGACCGCAAAATAGTTAATGTTAAAAATTAATATTTATTATAAAATGCAGCAATATTAAAATATAAATTAATATTTTTTTATAAAATGCATTAGCAATGACAAAACAAGCAAGCATGCACACACACACACACACACACCAAGGTATATTATTCCTTATTAAACACAGATACATAAGCAATAAGCAAGATACGCCTTCACGCTAGGTATCTTCCGGCTCAAAGCTGGATGCCTTTAACATTTAGATCTTATCTAGCTAGAGCTGTTGGTCAGGAATGGAGCAGGGTGCTTTAGAATAAAATGCTTAGGTTTTCCTGAGGTTGAGTCATTCTCTCACTATTTAGAAAAGTAATTGTAATAGGGTGAGATGGGTTAAGGAGGAAGATGACAAATGGCAGTTTAAAGTACCTGAGCCTTGCTCAGTCCCTCAGATCAACTACCCAGCACGTTTTTAAATCCACAGAGTATTTTTCTAGAATTGTATAGATTTCCTGGAGGTGGGAGCCCCTGAACTCATACTTACAGGATTCTGACATAAGCCCAATATTCTCAAAACAAATATTTGATTCATTTATTTAGCAAATGTATTTTTCAGTGTCGATTATGTGCCAGGAACTTTTCTATGCAGTAGAGAGCAAAGCACAAAAATTTCTTTTTTTCTAGAGTTTAAATTCTAGCCAGGGAAACACAGTAACAAGATGAACAAATTAAAGTATGTTAGGTAGGGATAAATGCTGAAGAGAAAAATAAACCAGGGAAAGATGCTTTAAAAAAAAAATGTCAGAGTAGGAATAGGGATGAGGGTTGTGGTTTTAGCTAGGGCATCAGAAAAGGCTTCAGGGAGAAGATGACAAGTCTGTTTGTATGAAGAGCATGCCAGGCAGGAAAAGCAGTTAAATACAAAGCCCTTGATGTGAGACTTTGCCTATGTGATCAAGCATTAGCACAGACAGCAGTATGCATAAAGTGGAAAGATGAAGACAGGTGGAATTGGGAGATGAGGTCCAAGAGGCCAGATCATGTTTAAGGTCTTACAGGCCATTGCAAGGATTTCAACTTCTGCTTTGAGTTAAAATGTTGCAGAATTTTAAACAGTTAAGTGATATGATCTGAGTTAAGTTTTTACAAGATAAATCTGGCTGTTGTGTTTAGAATAGGGTATAGGATAATAAGCAGAGAAGGATATATAACAAATGGAAAGCTAGTTCAACAATGAGTGGAGGATGAGAGGGGCTTAGACCAGAGAGATTTCAGTGAAGATGGTAAACAAAAGGCAGATTGTAGAAATGTTTAGAGGCAGCAGGATTTGCTGATGAAATAGGTATGGGTCATGAGAGAAAGACATACCGATGATGGTTATGTTTTTTGGAATGAACTACTGAAGGCAAGCAATTGACCTACAGAGTTGAAGGAGAATTGCAAGAGGATGGTTTTGAATTCAGTTTTAGAAACATTAATTCTGAGATGTTGAATAGGGGGTTGGATTTACAAATTTGGAGTTTTAGGGCGGGCTCCTTGCTGACATATAAGTAATGATGGTGTTTAGAGCTGGCTTAGTTCTCAAGGGAGTTAGAGAAGACAGAAAAGAGCAGTGGTCCAAGGACTCAGCCCTAATACATTTGAAGGAAGACGAGGAGACCAAAGAAGACAGAAGGAGCAGGAAATGTTGTAAGTGTGGTATCCTGGAAGCCAAGTCAAGAAAGTATTTCAAGTAGAAGACAGTGGTCAGCAGAGTTGATGGTACAGATTGGGCAAGGAAGATGAGGACTGGGCACCGAGTGCCAGTTTTAGCAACACATATGTTATTGGAGATCCTAATAAAACATTTTCAGTGGAATGGTGGGCAACAGAAGAGCATAGGAAATTCAAAAGGAATGAGTGGAGAGAACTGGAGAAGAGTCAGCAAGTATAAGCAATGCTTTTAATAAGTTGCACTATAAAGAAAAGGAAGGACCTAGGGCAGTAGCTGGAGGGAGAAGTGTGATCAAGAGGATTTTTGTTCTTGTTTTTTTCCTTAGGTGAGAGAAATAATGCCATGTTTGCATACTGATGGGAGTAAATAAGGAAAGAGGGATAGACTATGTCTAGGCAGTAGGCAGAGGTAAGAATTGCTGGAATACTGTCTCTAAGTAGATAAGAAAGATGGGATTAAATGCACAAATGGCAGGATTTGTTTACTTAGGATAATGGGCACTTCCCCTAATGATAGGAAAGTAGATAAAATAAATGGACAGAGACACAGGAAAGTATTTAATTACAGTCATGGAGACTTACTGGTGTTGATTAAATTAGTTGATTGATTAATCTGATTCTAATTAGATTTGAATTGGATCACACAATCACACACAAACTCATTTTGTATATAAAACTTCATTTGGAGGCTATGCTTGGTTTACATTAGTGGCCCATTTAAAGTGAAATCTTTTCTTAATAATCAAATGTAATTGAAAACTCACAAAGGAAGGGAATCTTTACTCTTTCCAATTTGAACATTGAGAATCTTTATTAAATACAATGGGCTTTGATTTTGTTTCTTAGAGAATCTCACCAACCTTTGATGTAGATGAAAATTATTTTTGAAAAGAAAATATATGGTTAAATATGGGTATAGGAGAATGGGGTCCTTTGTGTGTTCAGTCTCTTTTAAGCAATGCTTTAAACTATAATTATACTATTTAAAATTTAACTAAATGTTTCTTCTCTTCAAAAATGTTTAGGTCATTGCATATTTTTTCTATATTTTACATGGCATTTTTTTTTCTATAACTCATAATTAGTTCTCAACATACTTGACCCATAGGTCTCTGATTCTAATTTTTCTTGCATTTAACTTGCCTTTGACAAGTTTCTGATGTCAAGAATTAAGAGCATTTTTATTAGAAAATGTTACTATTCTTTTCCTTCTGCTTCAGTAAGTATTCATGGAACTAAAGTTTACTAAAAAGAAAAAAAAGTAAATCTCAGATCTACAATACTTGATATTGAATTAAGAACTAGTGTTTTATTTATTATTGCTGTGGTTTTATGGCAGAGCAGTGAAAATTTCTTCCTTAATTTATTTTGCCATCTTGATAGTAAATGACTTATTCTTATGGTACAAATACATGTGTGAATTTGTTTCAGATATTTTAGATATTTCAGGTTCATGTGTGCTTTCCCTACAATAAAAACAAGAGGAAAACAGATCGATGTGATTTAATACATTTACTCTATCTTTCAGAAAACAATTTCTTTAAGTGACTAAATGTGTAACTTGATAGTAATTTTCATTATGTAAATAATTTTCATCATTAATTATTAAAGTCACCAAAATTCCTCATGAGTTTTTCACATTACCTCATTGCTACTTGATAAAGAGGTTTAGTGAAACCAGAATTGTTTAGTGATCCACAATATTCTTTCAGGGAAAAGATCTGTTTGTTTTTATGCATATACCCAGAAGTAGGGTAGGAATATTATAGTTTGTGAAAAACTGATAGGTAACATTTTTTATGAAAAAGAAATCTATTTTATTACTTTTTTCCTCCAAAGTTTTAAAATTTACCACATCATTAGGATCATTGAGGCAATAACTAATGACAAGTGGTCCAATCTAATAAATGACATCATTCTCATACATACATCATACTCACATGTACTCCACCATATTTAAAGATTTAAGAAAAACCTTTAAAGTGTTCATTAACAGTTTATTAGCTAGAAGGACGTGTCTGAAGTGTGCTGAAACTTGAACATGAACAACTAAATTTTATATTTTTCTGTATTAAGATTTGCTTTTTCTCTGTCTGAACTTCTGGAATGTCTAGGTAGGAAACAATGATTTTATAGACTCTCTTTCCTAAACTGTAACTATACAGGAAAACCCCAAGGTTCATAGATGTTTCACTTTGTTTCAGATTAGGATTATGATAGATGAGGTAGTTGCTGTTGATAGCTCAATTCCTGGATTACAAAAGAGGATGGGTTGCTTTCACTCTCATCTAATCGGTATTAGCTCCTTGTGGCTTTAAGGATCTCTTGGTTAGTCTGGACTGCTCCTACCTTCAAAGTTTTTTGTTTTTTAATTCAGTGGAAGCCTATTGAGTTACTATGGATGTTATTAAACAACCTTCTCTACAGGAAACCATCTGTTTCTTTAGTTGAAGTTTAGGATAACATCTAAACTATCCTTGGCTGTGGAGAAACTTCAAGTTGAAGTAGGTCTACTGAATAGTAGGGCCTTACCACAATACACAAAGATGTAAACTTATTGATGTAGCATCTTAGTGACAAAATAGCCAGCAGTGCATCCAAGTGGCCTTTCATTTGCCCCAACAATATGATTTAACCTAAAAAAATAACTTAAGGTTATGTAGTTTTCTATATTGTTTCAAAACCATTTTGATACTGTAGTAAAAGTAGAAATTATATGTGAAAATAATTTTAAATGTATATGCATATTCTAAGAATTTTAGCCATTATTATAAAACATTTTTTAGTCTTAATATAATTGACAATGTATATGAATATTAAGTAGAAAAGTTGGATTTATTTTATAGAAATAAGATCTTTATGTGAAGCATATTGAAAACATAGGGTTAATTGGCTCCTAATTAGCCACTACAAGAGGAATTATTTTAATGTCTAGTCAATTAATTTTAATATTATTTTAAAATTATCTTAAATAATCAACATTTTTACATTATAATGATTTCTATTAGAAATTGACAAATTTCTTATTAGAGAACACTTAAATCAGCCTTACCAAAAGTACAAATAAGAAATACACTTATTCTAGAATGTTTTACCCTTTTTGGCTTCATATTAAAGGTGCACAACCAGTAAAAACAAGTAAAATAAGCTTTTTTACCACTTTTCTACATAATTATT